ATTTTTTTAGTTTACTCGCCAGAATGATATACTATAATATATATATATATATATATATATATATATACACACACACTGTATATGTTTTTAAAATGGCACAGCTTTTTAAATATCTGAAAGTACACTCTTAACATCAGTCAGTCAAGCATTATAGCACCAGCCAATGAGATTGTCGTTTGTTCATTAGTAGGGATGTAACGATTCACTCAACTCACGATTCAATTCGATTCGCGATTTTGATTTCACGATTCGTTTTGATTCACGATATATATATTTTTAAGAAAAATTCTTTTATTATTGCTTGGACAAAATGCTGCACATTTCTTTGTGAAATTGAAATATAACACTATAATAATATACTAATATAGCACTTGCATATTATTGGTTTTGATTGCTTCTATTGTCCTCATTTGTAAGTTGCTTTGGATAAAAGCGTCTGCTAAATGACAAAATTGAAATATAATGTAAATAACAAAACTAAATTAAAATTTTAAAAGAAGCTCCAAATTAAGTAACACAAATAAAAGAAATATCTTCATATAAACAAACTAAGGCTTTGTCTGTGCTCTTTCCTTTTAAAATTAGAGACAACCACTGCATTTTAATCATGATCCAAACAAAGATGCTGCAGACATGCAACATGAGCAGTTTTTAATCTAAATTAGATTGTATAATTTCGAAATTTGAAGCAAAAACAGAATGTGTTGACTTCAGTTTTGTGAAACTATACATAAAAATATCTGCAAGAAACAGCAGACGAGCTGAATGAGACGCAGACTCACTCTCTGCTAGCAGGAGGCGCTTAAAGCGTTTCTTTGGTTTCCGCTGTAAACAAAGCAGCCCTGCACTTGTGAACTTTAATATGCATTATACAGAGGCAAGAGGAAAAGAAAAAATACCATCTAAACTTTTCTAAAACAGTAAGTTCCCCTCAGACATACATTCATAAAAACTCCTACCCCTAAATGAGCCGCGATTTGTTTAGCATCTCAACCGATTTAAATCGTCACATATTTGAATCGATTTTCAACCGGTTCACGGTTAATCGTTACATCCCTATTCATTAGTTCCGCCCACTACCAGAGAACTCGGCAGTTCTTAAAAGCTGAAAAAATCCAAAATGAACTCTGTTATTTTGACAAGAAAATACAACAAAGAATATCGTTTACATGTAGCACGTCAATTCTTCATGTATGTAAGACTCTCTCGCTCTCTCTGCTCTCACCAAAGCGACGGCGAGTCGTGCGCCGTTACACTGGAGTTTACGGTACGTCAAATACAGGTGCGCTGCGCATCCATTCAGATGAGCTGAAAAATAGCACAGATCGCTGCTTGATGGAGAGTGAAACTCTGAGGCGCTCAGTCAGAGAGTGTTTGGCGAGTGAAAATATATCTGTGCTAAACTTATACTCAGCCTCCAACTCACTCACCGGCGAGTAAAATCTGAGAATTTATTAGCCATTGGCTAATATTAGACATCATTTAATCGCCCAGAGTGAAGATTTAGTCACATATGCGAGTGATTTACTCGCAATGTAGAGGGTTGTGTACAGACAATCTGAGACTCACACCTGCTACTTAAAACGGCTGTCAATCTTAAACACTGTATGTGTGAACATTGCCACTGTGAGTGTGAAGGTGATATATTTAGGTACACAGTTTAGGGGCAAACATGACACGATAATTGTATTCTCCTTTCCCACTGAAAGCCTCCCATTGAGAGCTTACTCAAAGCATTACTCACTCACTTTCAGGACTGACAGCTACATTGGTCAAGTGCTGAATGCAGTTAAAATAAAAGAGACATTTTATGAAGCTGCGCACCTGTATATTGGGTCTTGCATCACCATCATCTTGCTTTCATCCCAGGTCCATTCTTTTTTCTGCAGGAAATGAAAGTAATCATTTCAGTACACCACAAGCCAGGCTTTAATATATGATAATATATCCTAGGCAGAAGCTTGCTCTATCAATTTTCTCATTTAAGTTCCAGCTCCAAATTAAACCAAGAGATAAAACACCTGTGTAAATCAATTATTTGTGTTTAAATGAACAGCACAAGGCGACTTAAGATGCAGAAATGGCAGGGACTGACTGCACCCATTAACTTTTGAGCTAAGCATCTTGCTAAAGGACAAAATCATCTCTTAAGGCAAAGTGTCTTGCCAAAGGGTGAACACAGTAGAGCAGGGCGGTGATGTGTTATTCTCATCTGAACGGGGGGAAAAAAGAAAAAAAAA